AGATGTATCAGGACTTGAAACAACACTATTGGTGGAGGTGGATGAAGAAAGACATAGTGGAATATGTAGCTCGGTGCCTAAATTGCTAGCAGGTGAAGTATGAGCATCAACGACCGGGTGGATTGCTCCAGAAGTTAGAAATTTCAGAATGGAAATGGGATCAGATCACTATGGAATTCGTTGTTGGACTCCCACGGACTCAGAGGAAATTCGATGCAGTTTGGGTGATTGTGCATAGATTGACCAAGTCAGCTCATTTCATTCCTATGATTACTACTTACTCTTTAGAACAGCTGGCTCAGGTATATATTCGTGAGATTGTCAGACTTCACGGCGTACCGGTATCTATCATCTCTGATTGGGGTACGCAGTTTACATCACGGTTCTAGAGGGTAGTACAATGTGAGTTGCGTACTCGGGTAGAGTTGAGTACAACCTTTCACCCTCAGACGAACGGGTAGTCCGAATGCACTATTCAGATATTGGAGGATATGCTTCATGCATGTGTGATAGATTTTGGGGGTGCTTGGGATCAGTTCTTACCACTTGCTGAGTTTGCTTACAACAACAGTTACCAGTCGAACATTCAGATGGCTCCGTATGAGGCCTTGTATGGTAGGCGGTGCCGGTCTCCAATGGGTTGGTTCAAACCGGGCGAGTCTAGGCTATTGGGTACAGACTTGGTTTGGGATGCCTTGGAAAAGGTTAAATTGGTTCAGGATCGACTTCGTACAGCCCAATCTAGACAGAAGAGTTATGCAGATTGGAAGGTTCGTGATTTTGCATTCATGGTTGGTAAGCAGGTCTTGCTCCGGGTTTCGCCTATGAAGGGTGTGATGAGGTTCGGGAAGAAGGGCAAGTTGAGCCCTAGGTATATTGGGCCTTTTAAGATTCTTAAAAGAGTTGGAGAGGTGGCTTACAGACTTGTGCTACCACCTAGTCTCTCTGCAGTTCATCCGGTATTCCATGTTTCTATGCTTCGAAAATATCACGGTGATCCGTCTCATGTGTTAGACTTCAGTTCGGTTCAGTTGTTCAAGGATCTATCTTATGTTGAGGAACCAATGGCTATTTTAGATAGGCAGGTTCGAAAGCTGAGGTCAGATAACATTGCTTCCGTGAAGGTTTAGTGGAGGGGTCATCCGGTCGAGAAGGCGACTTGGGAGATTGAGCATGATATGCGCAGCTGTTATCCACACTTATTCACCAGCTCAGGTACTTTTTCTAACTCCGTTCGAGGACGAACGTTTGCTTTAGAGGTGGATAATGTGATGACCCAAAATGTCATCTTTAAAGTTAATAATTAATTATGTGTTCTAAAACTTTAAAAGCACTATTTATCTTTACTTGACTTACATGCGCAGTCTGTAAAATTTTTCGGAAAGTTTTTATGTGAAAAATAGATTAAAATATGAATTAGAGCTTTAAAACTTAGATGAGTTCACTTTGGTCAATATTTTGAGAAAACGGACTCGGATCAGTATTTTGATAGTTTCAGTAGGTCCGTATCGTGATTTGGGACTTGGGCGTATGCCAGGAATCAAATTCTGAGGTCCCTAGCCCGAGATATGGAATTTTGATAAAAAATTAAAAGTTTAAGTTCAAATAGTGACCGGATGTTGAATTATGTACAAACGACCCCGGAATAGAATTTTGATGATTCCAACAGCTCTGTATGGTGATTTTGGACTTAGGAGCGTGATCGGAATTTTATTTGGAAGTCCGTAATGAAATTAGGCTTGAAATGGCTAAAATAGGAATTTAAGTTTGGAAGTTTGACCGGGGAGTTGACTTTTTGATATCAGGGTTAGAATCCAGTTCCGAAAATTTTCATAGCTCTGTTATGTCATTTATTACTTGTGTGCAAAATTTGAGGTTAATCGGACTTGATTTGATAGGTTTAGACATCGAATGTAGAAGTTGGAAATTCTAAGTTTCATTAAGCTTGAATTGGAGCATGATTCGTGATTTTAGCGTTGTTTGATATGACTTGAGGTTTCAAATAAGTTTGTATGATGTTTTAGGACTTGTTGGTATATTTGGTTGAGGTCCCGAGGGCCTCGGATAAGTTTCAGATGGTTAACGGATCAAAAATAGGACTTAAACAGCTGCTGCAAATTTTCTTCTGCTGAGCAATCGAGCCCAGAAGTCGAGCCCAAAAATAATCGAAGGCCGGAAATCGAGCCCAGAAATCAAGCCCAGAAGGCAAGGTTTGAGAGCCATAATCGAAGGCAGGCTCGAGAGTCATAATCGAAGGCAGGCTTGAGAGCCATAATCGAAGGCAGGCTCGAGAGTCATGATCGAAGGCAGGCTTGAGAGCCATGATCGAAGGCAAGGCTCGAGAGCCATGATCGATGGCAAGTTCGAGAGCCATGATCGAAGGCAAGGCTCGAGGGCTATGATGGAAGGCAAGCTCGAAGGCCAGTGATCGAAGGCCAGTGATCGAAGGCCCAAGATCGAGGCCCAGGATCGAGGGTTATGACCAAGGCGAGTGATCGAGGGCCATAAAGATCAAAGCCATGATCGATAGCCAGGATCGATGGTTGTGATCGAGCCATAGGGTTGAGATCCATGATCGAAGCCATGATCGGAGGCCATGACCGAGGTCCAGCCCGGACAGATCTGTAAGTTTATAAAACTGGGGATTTCGTCCTATTTGCCATTTTTGACGAACTTGAGCTTGAGCAGAAGCGATTTTTGACAGATTTTTAAGGAAAAATATTTGGGTAAGTGATTCTAACTCGGATTTGGTCAATATACACGAATATATCATTGTTTTCACCATTTAATTAGTGTATTAAGATGGAAATTTGGAAAAATTTTAGAAATCTCATAAAAACGAATTTTTGAGATTTCTGCATCGATACGGAGTCGGATTTGAGTAAAACTGGTATGGTTGGACTCGTAATTGAATGTGTTGTCGGATTTTATAAGTTTTTCCGGATTCCGAGATGTGGGCCCCACGGGCGAATTTTGAACTAATTTCGAATTTTATTGAAAAATATAATATTTTCTTATGAAATTAATTCCTATAATTTTATTTGACTGTATCAAATTAATTATGACCAGGTACGAGTCGATCAGAGTTGGAGAATCGAGGAAAAGGCATACTACTTGGTTAAATTGGAGCAAGTTGAGGTAAGTGACTTGTCTAACCTTGTGTGGGAAAAATTTCCCCTAGGATTGGTAGGGAAGTGATAAATTATAATGTGTTGAAAGTCGTGTACACGAGGTGACGTATGTGTACACGGGCTAAATGTGAAAGATTACGTTATTAAATTGGGTAGATCACTGTTGCGCATTAATTAAACTATTTTATTCTGATATATTCTTCATCATTGATTTAATGTTTTAAAGTTGCTTGACCTTTTCCGCCTAATTATTTTACCTGTTTAGTTAAAACTTGGTTTCTTTTATTCTATGCATTATTTGAAGTTAATTTTCTTTAAATTAAATATTATTAACATGAAGTATTTGACATTTTTAAATTTGGTATTGAAGCAACGTATTAAAGATTTTGAAATATTATTTTGCTGAATTATTTATTCCTGAATATTTTTGTAAGATTTCCGTACTCATTGTGATGGAGCTATGAGCTCTTTATTGTGAAAAAATATTGTTGTTGAAGTATTTTGGCAAGTTAAATTATTTGAGCACTTGATGTGCAAATTGTGATATATTGTGATGTTGATACGCATGCGGTGGTATAAGGTCTGGGTATTAAAACGCATGCGGTGAGATAAGGGTTGCTTGATACGCTTGGATAGTAGGGGGAACTACTAGAAGTCATGCGATGTGATAAGGATGGTTAAAATGTGGGATGCTATTTCGGGAAAAATATTTTCTTTAAAATAAATTGTAAAGGCTCCCGCGGTGAGATAAGAAAATGAGATATTGTGAATTTATTTATGATTTGGGACTACGAGGAGGTACCTCGTGAGTGCCCTTGTTGATATTGATTTATGGCCATAGTTGCCTTTGATTATTTGTTATGATTTTCATAAAGTTGAAAGCACATTCTGTTTTGATTTCACGAGATATTATTTGTCATTATTTTGTTTAATTAATTGGTGACATGCTACTTGATTCATTTCCATTGTCATTTTATTTTATTATATTGTTAAATATTTTACCATGCAATTATTATTTTCCAGTAGGGCCTGACCTGACCTCGTCACTACTCTACCGAGGTTAGGCTTGGCACTTACTGGGTACCGCTGTGGTGTACTCATACTACGCTTCTGTACATCTTTTTGTGCAGATCCAGGTACTCCTTACCAGTCCCGACATTAGTGAGTTACTTGTACACGGAGACTTCGAGGAATATCTGCCAGCGTCCGCAGACTCCGGAGTCCCCTTCTGTCATTATTGTGTTGCTTCCTTATTTTCTTTAGACCTTGATATATATAGAGACATTGAGGATAAATTTTTAGAAGCTTGTGACTTATTTTTACCGGGTTTTGGGAGTTGAAATTATTTGAATTGTAGTTTATTTATTTCAGATTTAAATTTTTATTCCGCATTGATAGGCTTACCTAGTCTTAGAGACTAGGTGCCATCACGATATCCTACGGAGGAAATTTGAGATCGTGACATTATTGGTATGTATATGTATGACTACTAACCGTCTGCTCCAGCTTCCATTATATAATCATCAATTCTTTTTATTCGCAAAATGGAGTCCTACTGAAATATGTTCTAATCGTCCTGAATTTTCTATCTTTCTAAGGATGTCCTACTGATTTTTTTATTGGTAGAGTTTTGTTATGGGCTAACTCCTTAAATTAATAGGAAATATATTTGTTATATAAAAAATTAACTTCCCTGGTGTACTTAAGAGAATTTTCTTTTTTCCAGAATAGATACCAAAAAATGTTTGTGGAACATATATTAAAATAAAAATATTACTTCACTAAAAAGGACTGAAAAAAAAAAAAAAAACCTCATGAAAACAAAAAACAGGCGCAACCTCAACTACTCTACAACTTGTCACACCAAATTAAGTTTCTCTCGGCAAAGTTCGGTCAACTACCAATATCAACGACAATATATGAATCGAAGGTTTTCATGATTCTAGGTTTGTCTACAGTACCTTAATTTCTCTTAGGAAATAGTGTTGTTCTCAATCCTGTTGTGGTTGCTTCAGAGTTACTTCAAAATTTCTCACAACACAATCTGATATCTGCCGAAAGACTCCACAAAAATTCCAATATTATCTAAACTTCTCACAGCAAAATCAGTTTGTACGGCACTTTGGCATGGAAGAATTGAAGAAACTCGCAAGAAAAAATAGAATATGCATACGGAACAAAGAACGACCAAAATATTCCTCGAATAACAATGGTATGAACTTTTATAACTATTTACTGATTTTCAATACAAAATCATATACTATTCTGCTTAAATTAATGAACACTTTATTATAGTATGTGTTCTTTTATTTTCTTTGCGGTAAATTATATTTTTCTTCTTCTAACCTGATTTGTCTTTCTACCTGCATGTTTAATCTGCCATAAACTTTTTATCACGTCCTTAAGATTTTTTTTAACTATCCAAGTTGTGGCATATTATTTGTGTATATTCAATTCATAAAGAGACCAATATGTATGTTATTCAGTTCCTTTTTTCCAATCAATTGTCCTCTATTCTTTTATTTGGCTTAAATTAGATTTTCCTTCTTTTTACCTGATTTATTTTTTTTACTAGATCAGAATAAATATACCCAAAATCTTTCAGCAATAAATTCGTTGATTGAACTACCTAATATTTTTGTCCATTCCTTATACACTTTACTTATTTTTTGTCTTACTAAGTTGTTTGATTCTCTGTATCATCTTTAGATTTCGCTTTTTTACATGCTTTAGTCTGTAGGAAGTAGAGAAAATCAACATTTCAAATCAGCTCTTCAATACTTCTATACTAACCTCTAACGTGAACATAGTGAAAGTACATGGGGTGAATTGTGGTCGATTAAAGCTTAGTTGACTAAATATGAGTTTAGTCGACTAGAGTCCGCACAGTGAATAGTTAAAGAGAAGTAAACCAAGTAAACTGAAAGATAACAGGACACATCAATTTTATACTGGTTCAGTACCGGTGAGATACTTACATTCAGTTTCCCTTGGGTCACAAGGTACTTCTTAAATCTTTGATAATAGGTTACAATGATGATAGTTTTGGTTCATTCACCATCAATAACATTCAGTGATAATAGCTTTTATAATGTTGACACAACTCTCTTTTTGTGTTCTATCTCTTCCTATCTTTTATGACACTTGTAGACTCAAGAATACAGTGTTTGTACTAAGAACTAGAAAGGTTTAGAATCAGTTTGTGTAGTTGCGCACCCAATCCTTGAGTATGCCAGTCTTTTTATAGACCAGATTTGAGAGTTGCTATGATTTATTTTGATTGGTGCACACAATATTTTATTTATATTTGATTCATGACCCGTGTCTTTAATTCCTTCAAGAAGGATGGGCTGGATTTAATAATCCAGGGAGTGCTCCAAGCCGAGATCTAGGGAGTGCTTCCATGCTCCATGCTTTGTCGAAGAAAGGAGCAGTTGATGGGCTGGATTAATTTATCGAGGGAGTGCTTTCCATGCTCCATGCTTTATTGGGTAGAGGAACAACACTTCAAGTTGTCTCTCATTACATTGTGTTCCCTTTCCATTTTGAATCTTCCTTCATACAGAATCTGCTATTTGTATTTGCAGGTGAGCTACATATAAGACAATGGTTCAAGATACATAGTCATGGAGTGAATCTTCATTCCTTTTTGGAAATGCTTGCTTCACCTGAATCTGTATATATTAATATAATATTAGTTAAGACTTCTTTATTGATATTTGATCATTATTAAAATTCTACACTTAACAATCTCCCCCTTTTTGATGATGACAATAAGCTAAAAAGAGTTTGACTAATTTATGGATACTTTCCTGTTCTTTTCAAGTGTGCTCCCCCTGTCTTTAAGCTGGTTGTTGATTTGAATCTGCACTTAAGAAGCTTGTAGTTCACCTGTAAGGTTGTAACACACCTGCAACCTTGTAGTTGTAGTTCACATGTAACACACCTGCAACTTTTTTTCTTTCTTTCTCCCCCTTTGATATCAATTAAAAAAAATAGGAGAAACTACTTGCAGTAATAGTACTAGCTAAGCAGGCATTAAATTTGTACATCTAAGCAGTTATAGTGAGCATAGTCGACTAATGCTCATCCCAGACACAACCAAAAGAAAATAGTCTTAAACTATCACACAAAGCAAAAAGGATTGTCTTAAGCATTCCTAAACAGCCTGCATGACCCTGATTCCTTGCCTCCTTGTGGCTTGAAGAGTGATCCTAAGTTTGGCCACGTCTGCCGCGGTTTCCTTGGTTACTTCTCTGATCTTGTCCACCTGCTCCTGCAAAGAGGTTAGTAAATCTTTGATATCTGCAATGTTGTGCTACATCAACATTAGTTGGTCTGAAGAAGAGAATTTGTTGACTTCATATTTTAGTCCTCCACTGCTCTGAGTAGGGATGACTTCTGATGCTTTGTCCTTTTTAAGCCATGTTGCCTCAATTAAAGTATACCCCATCATGAAAAAAGCAGTCTTGTCATAGGTGCTAGAGATAATCTTTAGAACATAGATAGATAGGTCCACTTTCATGACTTTCAGAATGTGAGAAGCTAGTAGACCATAAGGCAGGCTGCTCGTAGAAGAGGAAACGTCCCTGATACTTTCAAGCATGTATTGACGTACCCAGACAAACCAGATTATAGCTTTACCATTTACCAAACAATACAAAACAAATACTTCTCTGAGAGACAAAGTACTGAGTAAATCAGTACGGGGTAGCAAAGTGGTTGCGATAATATGGGCTAGAACACGATGTTCAAAGTTCAAGTTCTTAGGACCTATATCAGGGAGGTTTTCAGACAGAACACTTTTGGCCTTATTAAAAGATACTTTAAAATTATCTGGCCAGGAATATTGTACAAATAAGTTGTATCCAACAAACTTTGTGGCAAAGATTTTTTCAAACTAATAAGAATCAAGGATAATGCGAGTTCCTAAGACCATGGTTTCTAGATCTTCTTTATCATTCACAAAAAAGTTTGCATAAAATATGCGCACGGGCTCTTCATAGATAATATCACCAACAGTAGCAAATAGGGAGACAAGTTTTTGAGTTTCTAAAATAGACAGAACATCACAGTGAGAGTTTTGCATAGACTTTAAGCTTACAGTGCGACCAAATGCAATTGACTTTCCTTTGAAGGAGACAAATCTAGCCTTCTCTTCAAGGCCATAGAAAATCATCTTGTCTTCAGGACAAAACTCATTTTTTCAATTTTTTCCTTTTTCTGAGAGGATTGTTTGGGGATAGATTCTATTGGTCGTTTTCCTGCCCTCTTTTGAGATATGAGGATTTCTTCTTGAGAGCCACTTGATTCTTCTTCAGTGAGTAAGTTGTCTGTGCTTTTTGAGGTTTCGATATCAACATGATCATTTTTGGTTTTCTTGAATCGGTGGCTTCTTCTGGGTAAGGAAGATGAGGGAAAGGGTTTTGCTTTGGCCATGAGTAAGAGAAAAATAGAGAGAGAGATTTGGTTCCTTTGAGAGAATGGGAGATANAGAGAGAGAGAGAGAGAGAGAGAGAGAGAGAGAGAGAGAGAAAGAGAGAGAGAGAGAGAGATTTGGTTCCTTTGAGTGAGTGAGAGATACACTCGAGAGAAGAGGAATTAAAAAAAGAAAAAAGGATGCCTCGATTTCTGGAGCGACGTATGAAAGACAACTGAAAAGTTTCCTTCTACAAAACTATACCATTAGTTCAAATAGAAGTGAAGACTAATTAAGTACTAAGAGATTTTTTGGCACAACAACATACATGGAATTAAATAAGAGTAATTATGGATACATTAACCATGGTTATGAGGGAATTGTGCAAATGCCAATTTTGTTCAGAAGAAAACGAAATCTTTCTTCAAGCAAAGGTTTTGTAAAAATATCGGCCAACTGATTTTCAGTATTAATAAATTCTAATACAATATCTCCTTTAGCAACATGATCATGTATAAAATGATACTTGATCTCAATATGCTTAACCCTAAAATGATGCACAGAGTTTTTTGATAAATAAATTGCACTAATATTGTCACACGTGATCGGAACAGAATTAAGATGTAAATCATAATCTAAGCAGTTGATGCATAATCCATAGCACTTGTGTGCAACAGTTGTCTACTGCCAAATATTCAGCTTTTGTGGTGGATAAGGCCACACAACTTTGTTTTTTGTTGTGCCAGGATACAAGGGATTTTTCAAGTAATTGACACGTTCTACTTGTGCTTTTTTTTTTTATCAAATTTATTTCCTGCAAAATCTGCATCTGAAAAACCTTTGAGATTGAAATTTTCCAGACTTTCATACCATAATCCATAGTCGACTGTTCCTATCAAATATCTAAAAATACGTTTAATAGCAGTCAAATGAGTCTCTTTGGGAGCTGACTGATATCTAGCATATTTTCAAATACTAGACATAATATCTGATCGACTAGCGGTAAGATAGAGTAATGGGCCAATCATACCTCGATACATTATTTCATTAACACTCTTACCATTTTTATCTTCATCCAAAGTAGTCGATGGACTCATAGGTGTTCCTATGGCTTTTGCATTAGATATACCAAATATTTTGATGAGTTCTTTCATATATTTTGTTTGACTAATGGAGATTCCTTTATGTATTTGCTTGATTTGAAGTCCAAGAAAGAAAGTTAATTCTCCCATCATACTCATTTCAAATTCTCTTTTCATGATATTTGAGAAATTCTTGCACAAAATAATATTAGTACTACCAAAAATAATATCATCTACATAAATATGTACAATTAAGTTACTTAGAGATGATCGTTTCATGAAAAGAGTAGTATCAATATTACCTCTGTTGAATCCATGTTTAATTAGAAATGAGCTTAACTTTTCATACCAGGCTCTAGGAGCTTGCTTTAGGCCATATAAAGCTTTGGATAATTTGTAGACATGATTAGGAAAGCATTCATTTACAAATCCTGGAGGTTGCTTAACGAAAACTTCCTCAGAAATAAATTCTTTTAAGAAGGCACTTTTCACATCCACCTGAAATAGTCTAAAACACTTATGAACAACATAAGCTAATAGAATGCGAATGGATTCTAACCTATCAACAGGGGCGAAAGTCTCCTCATAATCAATCCCTTCTTTTGTAAATAACCTTGGGCAACTAGTCTGGCTTTATTTCGCACGACTTGTTATTCGTTCAATGTATTTCTGAATGCCCATTTTGTTCCAATAATGGATGCATTTGGTGGCTTAGGAATGAGTTCCCATACTTTGTTGTTCTCAAATTGATCAAGATCTTCCTTCATTGCAATTATCCAACTTTTATCACCAAGTGCTTCGTCCACCCTTTTTGGTTCAAGTTGGGATATGAGAGCGATATTTGATGTCTACTTTGAGATCTTTTAGTCTTCATCCCTTCCTGAGGGTCTCCAGTGATATACTTATGAGGATATCCAGGTTCATTTTTTCATTCATTTGGGACGACTAATTCTGGCTCTTTTTCAGCAGAGTTGTTGGATTGATCAAAGTGGACTCCTAATTTTTTGTAAGATGCACAGCGGACTGATCTTGCTGATCAGTCACTTCTTCAGAGGCAATTCCACTTGTATCGATAAACTTTGGCACTATAAAAATTTCTTCATTTTCAGTAAGATGACCATTCTTCAAATGAGGGTTAGTATCCACAAAAATAACATGTATAGATTCTTCAAATGAGGGTTAGTATCCACAAAAACAATATGTATAGATTATTTAATGGATAAAGTACGCTTATTAAAAGCTCTATATGCTCTACTGGAGGGAGAGTATCCGAGAAAAATACATGTTGTGAATCCAACCAATTTCTTCATCGCTTTTGGGATCGAACTTACCAAGATTATCATTTCCATTGTTGTGAAAAAAACACTTACAACCGAAGAGATGAAAATAACTGATGTTGGATCTTTTTCCTCTCCATAGTTCATATGGAGTCTTCTTGAGTATTGGTAGAATAAGGCATTTGTTGATGATATGACATGTTGTACTTACGGCTTCTGTCCAGAAGTTGTGTGGGAGAGAATTTTCTACAATTATGGTTCTTGCCATATGTTGTAGAGTTCTATTTTTACGTTCTACCACTCCATTTTGTTGTGGCGATCTTGGGGAAGAAAAAATGTGAGAGATCCCTTGATCATTGCAGATGTTCTCAAAGGCTTTGCTTTCGAAGTTTCCTCCATGATCACTTCTTATGGAGGAAATATAGTAACCTTTTTCACGCTGTACTTTCTTGCAAAAGACTTCAAAGTTTCGTAGAGCTTCATCTTTGTAACTTAGAAAAATAACCCAGGTGAATCTAGAAAAATCATCTATTATAAAAAAAGCATAATTTTTACCACCTATGCTAGCAGTTCTAGTAGGTCCAAAAAGATCCATATGCAATAGTTGAAGATGTTTTGTAGTGGAAACAACATTTTTGACTTTAAAAAAGGATCTGGTATGTTTTCCTAGTTGACATGCATCACAATTTTGATCTTTCAAAAAATCTAGTTTTGGAAGACCTATGACAAGATCGTTTATAGAAAGATTATGAATAGTACGCATGCTAGCATGACCAAGTTTTCTATTCCATACCCACGGGTCATCAAGAATGGAAGCTAGACAAATTTGATTACCAACGCTTTCCAAGTTACTGATAGTATAAACATTTTTTTCCCCATTTCCAGAGAGAATAACTTTACATGATTCATCTTCAATAAACCAATCATGTTTTTTGAAA